GTCCGCCCGCAAGATCCGCTCCCGCTTCCAGACGCTGGTGGCCCAGGCTGTGGACAAATGCAGCTACCGGGACGTGGTGAAGATGATCGCGGACACTAGCGAGGTGAAACTCCGCATTCGGGAGCGGTATGTGGTGCAGATCACACCCGCCTTCAAGTGCACCGGGATCTGGCCCCGCAGCGCGGCGCAGTGGCCCATGCCCCACATCCCCTGGCCCGGCCCCAACCGGGTGGCGGAGGTGAAGGCGGAGGGCTTCAACCTCCTCTCCAAGGAGTGCTACTCGCTCACGGGCAAGCAGAGCTCGGCCGAGAGCGACGCCTGGGTGCTGCAGTTCGGCGAGGCCGAGAACCGGCTGCTGATGGGCGGCTGCAGGAACAAGTGCCTCTCGGTGCTGAAGACGCTGCGCGACCGGCACCTGGAGCTGCCGGGGCAGCCCCTCAACAACTACCACATGAAGACGCTGCTGCTGTACGAGTGCGAGAAGCACCCGCGGGAGACCGACTGGGACGAGGCATGCCTGGGCGACCGGCTGAACGGCATCCTCCTGCAGCTCATCTCCTGCCTGCAGTGCCGGCGCTGCCCCCACTACTTCCTGCCCAACCTCGACCTCTTTCAGGGCAAGCCCCACTCGGCCCTGGAGAGCGCTGCCAAACAGACCTGGAGGCTAGCCAGGGAAATTCTCACCAATCCCAAAAGCCTCGACAAGCTATAGGGTTCACACCCCCGCACTCCAAATTCGCCCTCCGTAAACAACAGCGGCGCCTAAAAAACTTTTTATTTAACGCAAACGACGACGGAAAGAGGCGGCGAGAGCGACGCGTCCCCGCCACCCCCCACCCACCTGCAGCTCGGCGCTTAAAAACTGGCAGACGGTTTTCCCGGCATAAACTCGCACCGCCTTGCACGGAAGAAGGGAAGAGCTTCTCCTCCTGTCCTCCAATGTGAATTTTTAAAAAGTCACAAAAAGAAGCAATCGGACTTTTGCAACCTCAAAACGAAACCCGAAAGGTACATTTTCCAATCAATGTATAGTCCTTTTCTTATTCTCCCTTGTTTGCCTGAATGTTGTCACCAAGTGAAAAATTATTTAACTATATGTACAAATCGCCCTTTAAAAAAGTTTTACTGATGTTAAATGTATTTCGGTGCCAAGGTCAGATTATGTGCCCCACAACTGACTTGTTGCAAATAGTAATAAAAATATTACTTTAACTTTACGCTGACTTTTCGTGCATGATTCTTAAATTCAGGCAAGTAGGTTCTTTCTGAACCTCAAAAGTAAAAAATTTAAAAGAAACGGAAACACGAGATGTAAAGACAGTCTAAACGCGGCACCTAGCCGAACCCTTAGCTTGGCATATTCAGTGACGTTTGCCAAACTTCCCTCTAGTTTCCATAAAAATAATGCTTCCGAAATAAAATCAATCTTATATATTCTGTAGTTCAGCATGTGACAATATATGCTATATTTCTATGACTTTAAACTCCAGCTCTAAAATCTTGGGAACGCAGGGAGCATCGCACAGCACCTCACCACAATTCAGACAGAGTTAGAGCATGCCGATGCCCTACAGTCGTCACCTTTATTTTTCCTTATAGTTGTCTCCCCCCCCCGGTAAATCTCGTATTCATCGCTCTTTGCTTTCGCTTCCCTGGGTGAACACGCTAGCCATTTGACTTTGACACGAAGGAAGTATAGATCTACCCTGAATAATTAATGCGCTTTAGAGCAATCGGTCGATATTTTTTTTAAACAAACATTTGTTTTCCCCGGATTTTTAAGTACAGCATAAAATCGCACCATCCGTAGCCAGACGAGCAACCAGTAAACAAACCACCCCGTTCTGCATTATCGCGGCCACCACCGATCTTCTTCCCCGCCCGAGCTCCCTCTCCCAAACCTGAACTCGACCCGATTCCTTGTATTCTTCGCTAGGAAAATTTCGCTTTAAGTTTGCTCGGGAGGACTTAGAAATATTTGTAGTGTTTTTATCGGGAACGTATTTATAAGCTTTAAAAACGTCAGCCTAAAAAATGTCAAAGCCGGCTGGGAGCATTTCGAGCAAGTTTTCGGGTCCTTTCGCATGGTAAAATGTAAGTTCTTGCCCCAAAGCACTACTTCCGTTTCTTTGCGGATGGATCCGGAAAGAAACAGCCATTCACATTTGAGTTTCTTTTAAGTTAAAAAATAAAATAATAACGAAACAAACAACGAAACCAAACGAAATTAACTAGTCCGACGGTAGCCCGGGAAAGAAAGTCCCTGCGAAGCGGCGGGTGGGCACCGCTAGCCCCAGCCCCCGCCCCCGCCAGGGAGAGCTGGGCTGCCCCAGCCTCAGCCCCAGCCCCGGGGACCGAAACCCAGGAGCTTTTCAGGAACTGCTGGCAGGGTCGTGCGAACGCTTTCCCCAGCGCTAATGGTGGCTCACCTGGCACCCTGGGTTTACCCCGCGGGGCCACCCTTTCCTCCCGAAAACAGCTCCGGAGTAAGAGCCTAAACTCTGATCTTATCGCTGCCGATACTATCTCCGCTGCAGGTTTCTCTGCAGGACCTTGTCACAGTGTTTTCTTTTCAGTAGTTTAGACAAATATACAAAGAACTTAAATTTATCAAACAGATGAAGCCTCATTAATTAAACAGGCCTTCTAAACTACAGTGGATTAGGATTTTTTTTTTTCCCAAGGAGCATTTTCTCCAGCAGCGCTAGTCATCACTAGCAAAGTACAGCAACTTGAGCAAAGGGTGGGGCAGGGAGGCTGTAATGCCTGAAAGAAAGCTGCGTTGCAAGCTTAATTGTTTTTTAAAATAAAAACATCAAGATTTAATTTTTAGTCCCCCCTCCCCTTCTCCCAACTGACGAGACGTTACAAAAGGGCTTTTTCTTTTTCTTTCTTTTCCTTTTCTTTTAAGACTCCCAGCTAAAGTAGCATCACACATAGAATGTAAGAGGTGCAGCCTGTATTTCATGTTACCAATTCCTCCTTTTACAGGAACCCAAATAAACCTCTTTGATACAGAATTAAAGATACAGTCAAACCAAACCAGAATGCCTACTCACAGTTAGGATAACAACCACTACCAAATACTTGAAAACAGGAGAAAAGAAAGCAAACTTAATATAAACTATGTGCCAGTGTCCCCATAAAACATGTAACAGGAATGGTAAGAATTAATAACTGTGCTCAAATGTCCTATGTGCTAAACATGTAAAACAAAAATGCAGAATAATACAGATCTGTAAGACTTTTCTCATAGTAGTGCTATACAAAACAGAACATTTTAGGTGGAAAGTGCAATATACATTTTAGTAACATATCAAACTGCCTTTATGTTTTATATTTATATCCTTTTTACCATTAAATGTTAAAAAAAACACTATGGAAGAAGTAAGCCTATAAAAACTGTAAGAGCTCTCTCATATTTGGAACAATTTAAAAAGTATTTAAAAAATACTTCTAAACCAAAAGCAAAGTTAAATTTCATTTATGGTATCACACAAAAATCACAATTCTATTTAATTACTTATATTAAATTCTAGTTCTAAGAATCTGAGAGCATTGTTCTCCAAAATAAATTTATTCCTTGATAGAATTTAGTAATCCCAGTTTCCAGATCCACTGATGCCATTTTTAATACAGACAAGAGCAGTAAGAACAAAGAACTGAACTAGCGCTCAACACACAAGGTATTCTCTACAGACAAGCAGAAAACAACTACTTCTTCCAGTGACTTTTCTGGTCTTCACAAAGAAATTATTACCTTGTTTAATATCAACCAGGTATTTAAAAAGCCAAGAGCCATCACTGTGCTTAAATTGGCATGAGAGACTATTCACCACTTGTATCATACTTCTGAAATGTTGCTGAAATGCTGTAGAAAACACTCAAGTGCAACCTTATTAAACTAATTGCACAATGTATTGACTTTGAAATAGGAATTCTACTGAAGGTTACTAATTTTAAACAAAACACTGGTAATCATGTAACTCGGAGCCAATAAAATTTCTGGAAATTAGCAAGTCAGTTCAGAAATGTATTTTAAGAGGCCAATTATGTTTTCTGCTTAGGCACAATTAGTTATAACAGGCCATGTAAAATCTGCAATAGAATAATATGATACAGAAGCACTGAAAACTTACCAGTGTAGGAAGTTTAGCGCTATGTTACACTGACATAAAAATGGGAAAGTAGAACAAAGCATTTGGGCTAAAAGCCTCGTTGAACTTTCCAGTGTTCACACAGGAATGTGACTCAAGATGTCTTTATTTAAGGTGCCTCCCTGGAGCTTTATTTGCAGAAAGCTAATTAACATTCAAGTAGGGTCGAATTGTGAGAAGGGGAGAAAAGGGAGAAGGAAAGGAGGTGTCACCTACATTAAGTTCAGTAACATATATGGCCAATCACAAACTTATTAAAGCAGGAACACTGCAGGCCAATCGAGGTAAAGGAAGTCGAATGAAGAAGTAAAGGTCTTGCGTAATTTGTCATCATCTCTCAGAGCTCAGGGTCAATGGTCTCTTACCTTTGGGTCGATTTTCTTAAAACTGGGATCTTCTTCATCCACCTCAAAGTAGAGCTCAGAAAGAGTGATAGAAAGAGTGCCTTTCACTACTACTGAGGGTGCTACAAGCTGAGCTGGTGTGCTTAGGGAAACTGGACCTGTCAAAGAGTGAAAACACCAATGATAGTCAAAACAAAAAAGAGAGCAAGTGTAAATTATTTGCTTTTCAAGCCTAGAACATTAAATAAGTACAGCAAAGAGCACACCTCTTCCTTAAAAAGCAAAACTCTTTTTATCCTGGAAAAGAACATATGTAACAGATTTACAGTGTCTCTGTGCTGCTGAACATTGAAGCAGCTACAATTGCAAACTGATGCATACATTATACGTGCCAGAGCTGGCTTCAGCATGGCAGTATGTAGCTTTCACTCAGACACATTTTCTTTCTGAGGAATTTCAGGAGTCGCATGCCTTCTGTTATATGCAATATAGACAGCGCAAACATGAATACTTGAAATCTTACTGTCAGGTGTGTTCTTCAGGTACCAGAGTTTCAATAGCTTTCCACAAAGCTGAATGTAGCAGTCAAGGCTCATAGTTGCCTAACTGTAAAGTGTTCCCTCATGGATGCTAGAAATCTATTGTTAAGGTTACACAATATTATAGAGCCTAAAATAAAATGTTTTAAAGATGCTTTTAATTCCATTTAAAATATTATTCAAAGATTCCATACAGTGTTAGTGTAGCTCGGGGACTGTGGGACTAAACAGCTGGAGGGTTGGTTTCCAACTGAACGCATTTTTATTGGAATAATCACATTTCCACAGGGCTTATCACAGGGACAAATCGGACTACTACTGAAAACAATAGGTTCAGCATAGATCTGACAATGCAGAACCTATTACATAAACTAACACAGAAAGAAAACAGGCTAGGTTTGTCATCCAGCTGATTAAGAGGTATGGAAATGAAGTTACTTGGCTTAAGTATTATCTGACTTTTGTAAAACAGTGGAAGATATGAAAGTGACACAGACAATTTTGTTTTAATAAAGCATCTATAAACGAGGTACACACGTTCAAGGTAATAAACGTGAGAATAACTGACAAAAAATTCAGATGAACTGTCATTTCCATTGATTGTTAGGAGGGTGATGGTCCTTAATCTCACATCAATCTCGATGTGTGCCACTAGGACAAAAGAAGAGATGCTCTGCTGAGATCAG